ACCAGTACAGATTATAAATAGTTTATAAAAGTTGAAAATATGAAACATTAGTTTCAAGGGCCACAAGGTGTGGCCAGAGGTGGCTGAACAGACATGAACAGCAATAATCTAACTAGAAAAAGTGTCAGCAACTCGAGGTACCACTGATAGTCTTAAGACAAGTCAGAGGGAGTGGAGGGGGAAGTGATCAAATGTCCAATTTGGTCAGTCTGCCAAAAGTGGGAGTCACAACTCACCGTGAGAGAAACAGATCAACTTTTGGCAGGAGTTTTATGTCTGACATAGTGGTAGGCTCAGTGTCAGAAACAGAGTCCCTTAATTTGTACTAATTATGATTGTGGACATGTTGCCATGTTGGGTATGATGATAGATTGCAGCAGTGGTGACTGTCTGGGTGGTGCAGGCTGCATCACAATGGCTGAAATTAAAAAGATTGATAATACCAAGTGTTGGTGAACATGGATAGCAAACATATCAATCCTGCCGTGAGTTTGACATGCTGGAAGAACTGTCATACACTGTTGGTAGAAATGTGTAATGATATAACCACTTTGGAAAACTGGGAATTTCTAATGAATTTCAGTATATATGATGCTAGGACTTAGCATTTGCACTCTTAGGTATAGACCCTTGAGAAAGGAATGCATAGTAGCTTTATTGGTAATAAAAACTGTAAAAAAAAAAAAAACAAACCCACAAGTATTCATAAGAGCAGAATAGGAAACAGTGGTGGATGTTCACTCAGTGGAATTCTGAACAACATAATGGAAAACATTTTTCTGGTACTTGAAAGAATGTGCAGGAATCGCCAAAGCAACATGTTGAGTGAAAGAAACTTGACATAGAATAATAATTGCAATCTAATTTAGAAGTCAGAATGGTGACTCTGGGAGATGGAGGAGACACTGCTGGCTAAAACGGGCATGAGGGAATATTCTGGAATAATGGAAATTTCTATATCCTGATCTGAGTGTTAGTCACATGGTTATGCACATATGTAAAAAATGTCACTGATTTACATATTTAAGATTTTTATGTCTTTATTATCTCAATAAACTATTCTTACCAAGAAAAAAAGTATTTAGCTATGTTAATTGCGGATCAATATACAGAAATTAGATTTCTACATATAAGAATGAATGAGAAGGTGAAATTTTAAAAAGCTATCATCTATAACACAAAACTATTAAAGACTAGGAATAAGTTTAATAAAAATGTGCAAGAATTACCAAGAAGAATATTATATTAGAGGCCCAGTGCACAAATTCGTGCACGGGTGGGGTCCGGCCTGCCTGCCCCGATGGGGGCCAGTCAGGGCTGAGCTGGTGTGGGAGAGGGGCCATAGGTGATTGGCCAGCAGGGCTGGCCCGGGAGAGGGGCTGTGGGAGATTGTGGGGGCCAGTTGGCCACTGCAGTGCACGTCATAGTGACTGGTCATTCCGGTTATTCTGTCATTCTGTCCTTTCGGTCACTTGGCTTTTATATATATAGAGATGTCATTGAGACAGATTAATGAGTAATATCTCCTTAAGTTGACTTAGGTTTAGTGTGATCCCAATAAAATACCAATGATTTTTTTTTTAAGGAAATGAATATAATGATTTCTCCCTCCCTCTTCTCTCCCTCCCTTCCTCCCTCCCTCCCCCCCCCCTTTTTTTTTTAGTGTACAGCTTAAATGAAATGCCTATTTCCTCAAAGTGGACTTAGATGATCTAAATGGGTTGTTTTTAACATTACTGCTATAATGCAATTTAAATAACAATACGAAAAAAAGAAAACAAGCAAAAATAATGACCCACAATCAGTACCACGAATTTTTAATGGGAAGATGAACATTTACCATACGTAGATGCTTTAAACATTCATTGTGATGTGTGGAAGAGAAGACACAGCATCTTTTTATCTGTTTGTATTACTGGTTGCCATGGTCATGACCAGTGTTGGGAAGATAAGAAAGCCTGTGAAGTGTAGTGGGGGTTGGGTTTTGATTTCTGGCTCTAGGGGTTGCCTTTTGTCATGTTACATTTTGGTCTAGCTATTTCTGAGCTATTTGAAATTTGCAAATTTGTTTTGTTGTTGTGTTTTGTCTACCCTCTCCCTCCCTTCTGTCTCTACTGGCAACCATAATACTTGGAATGCAGCTGTTGCATACTTTAAACTTTAAAGCCTGTGTAGTACCACTGGCTTTACTTTGTGAGTCTAGGAATTTGGTTTTATAGAAAGTTTATGTTTGATATGCCAGTACTGGATTAGAGAAAGGAATACAGGTTTGGGAATAGAGTAGTCTTTGGGCTACAGGTTGGGCTTTTGCTTTGTTTTTATATCTTAGGCAACTTTGAAAAGCAATGGGCATGTATCTCTCTTGAGCCCAAATCAGTTATTACAGTTTGTATCTAATTTTATTCTGTAATGAAAGGTATATAGGAATGCTGGGGAGATGGTATCTTTCCCTTCCAACTTTCTCTGTGGAGTAATAATACAAATAGCACAGGCAAGCTGCTTTTGCCCTAGAAAGTACATTTGAGGCAGTCCATTCCCCCAAGTCCTGTCAGGGGAGAGAGTAGGCAAAGGAACTAAAAAGCTTTCATTATCTAATTACATTAAGGTAGTATTTACATTACACTATTTGTATGAACACATACAAATGAAGAGGTGTATTTTTTTGGTGGAAGATGGGCAGCAGAGGAGGGTGAGGGAATTGCTATATGGAAACATTAAAAAACAAAAACCTCCCTGGGTTTTAATAATCTTAACCAGATGTGGAATAAGAAGAATAGCATTATCTCAGTGCAGTCTAGATGTAAATTTGGGTTGGGTTGTTGACACTTATGGGGAACATGAAACCTAATTTTACTCAGTCTGGTCTTGAGGCTGAATCTCATTTTTTTATTTTGTGACATACATGGATTTTAATTTTTTGTAGATTAGGTGTATTTTTTAGATATTAGGTATTCTCAAGTTTCCCATAAGTAATGTCTGTGTAACTCATTGCCTAGTCATTATGATAAATGTGATCTGGTCTGTTGGCATTATCAAGAAGGGATCGTTTCTTACTAGTATTTTATTGTAATTAGTCATTAAAAATGTATAATGGTAGAGGCTCACCCATTAGATTTAGGATTGAGTGTAATTCTCCTAGACTTTTTACTAGCTTATGCTTTAAAAATAAACTCTAGGATCCTCTCTTTAAGTGGTTATTGTACATATCAACAAGGACACGTACAGTTGCTAGGTGCCTCTCCAGTCGCTTATATGTGACCACTGGTGCTAATTTCTTCTTTCCTGTGTGAGGTATTGCTACGAGTTTTCCCAGAACTCATTGCATCTTTTATTAGTTCATTCATTTCTAATTACCAAGATAGAAATAAGTTTTCTTTATTTATACTTCTAAATATACATATGCATTACAAAGAAAATATTTTCAAAAGAAATCACTCCCATTTATAAGTCAGTAAAAATTCAATATATCTTCTTATGTGCAGCAGTCTTTTGTGTCATATTTATGTTTTGTATGCTATGCATTAACTTTTCTCTGTTGATTATAAATTAGTTACCTTGTACAAATTCAGTTTGTTCCAGTTGATTGTTGTTATTGTGCTATAGTGTGCTCACCTGTCCAACTTGAACAGTAGGAAGTCTCAGTTGGCTCTTTGACTTTTTATCTCTCCTTGGAAGGTATGCTAAAATACCTTCCAAGGAGTTATGGTACCTTTTATTGGTAAATAGTTTGAGAAAAAGCCTCTAGTAGCCTAGGTTGCAATCAAAAGGTGATTATTAGGCAAAGTGTGCTGCAAATGTTTGATCACTTGTAATAGTGACAGAGGTGTGAACTGTTTATTTTTAAAGATGTGAGTTTATGTTGCTCTTCATATTTTAAAATATGTTGTTACCTGCTTTTTAAAACCTATTACCAAATAAAAATTTTATTCTATATTCACATAAGTTATTTTAAGTAATAACTTGGAATCGTACTACATTGTATCTAATATCATGTTGTTAATAATGCTGTTGGAGTAATCATTTCTTTTTCCCCTACAATTAAGGAATATAACTATATTATTTTGAAATTAATCTGATAGAGTAAAATCTTTAGGATAAAGATGGTGAACTCAAAAAGTTAGAAAAGCTCATTCTTGCTGAGGTTTTTGTAATGAACAAAATAGGATAAGAGAACTGAATATTATTTATGCTTATTTGGAATAGTAATGCATGTCTTGAGCAGGCATTATGCTTGTTAGTTCATATGTGGGAACTAGGGTTTCCCAGCATGTTGTTGCAAGAGCAAAGTACCATTGCTCTTGCCATGTTTAGGTATGTTTAAGATATTCTGTAGGTGAGCTTATTTTGAAGAGGTTCATATTTTATTATTCTGATACATAGATATTTATTTCACTTGAATTTTCCATAGGCAAACTTTTGGGTGAAGAAGTGAATACATAAGTATTCTTTTCCTTTATTTGGCTGTCATAGAGTCAGATCTCTAGAACTGAAAGGAACCCTAGCACTTACCTTAACATTTTTTTATAGAAAAGCAAATTAATGGTCAGAGGTGAAAAGTGCATTTGTAGTTTTTACTGTTTTCCTGATGATTCAAAGTAATTGTTATAAAAACTAGTCATTTTGTTACATTGTAAATATGTACTTTAATGCAGTGATTTCTCAAAAACTTATCTCAGTCCTTTCTATAGTCCTGCCACTAAGCCTTTAATTTGTTGAAACATAATTTAACATATTTTCTATTTAAAACATTATATTTGAAATTTACTGTTTCTTAGAAAACAGGCTGCATGTCTTGATTCTTTACCACTGCTATGTTTTTAAAGAACACTAACCTCTGCTTGATTAAAGATAGCCCTAAGTAGTACTTCCCCAAATACATTATCTAGAGATTATGTAATTAAAATCTTTAATTTATGCTATTTCCTAGAGTACAGCACTGAATTATAACTGGTTTTTTTTTGTTTTTGTTTTTTTTTTACTATTTTCTCCCATTGCTTAAGAGTTCTTGAAGCCAGCATAGCAGAAAACAAAGCATGTTTAAAGAGGACACCTACAGAAGTGTGGAGGGATTCTCGAAACCCTTATGATAGAAAAAGGCAGGACAGAGCTCCTGTTGGACTAAAGAATGTTGGCAACACTTGCTGGTTTAGTGCTGTTATTCAGGTAAGGATATTATGCAGATCTTATTTGCTGGGCATGATAGCAGTGGAGAGTGGGTTGGACTTGGGTTTCTTTTAAGTTGTGTACTTGAAACAGAACTTCAGGCAAGGCTTTAATGTGATTTTCTGTCTAATGAACTAGTGTGGAGATTGCAACGTTCCTCAACCTCCTCTGTTCCTCAGTCCCAGGATGGAGTTTTAATGGGAGAGCATTACCTGTGCCTTCTTTGGGATTATTTTGAATTAATTTATTATTTGAAACTAATTTCTTCTCCCTCCCTGCTGTTAGGAATTATTGTCAGAGTGGAAAGAAAATATTTCTGAATGTATTTCCCTGCAATTTTAGGAAAGATGTAACCAAGATATGAAACCAGAACTAGTTTTTATTTGTGTATGTCCATTAGATCAGATTTACTTGTATATACTAGAAAATGTTTTTCATAGAATCATAGTCTTTTAGACACTATTTTAATGAAATAGGGCATTATATTTATTTGAGGAGGGTATAGATTTTAAAACATTTTTTTCTAACTTGAAAAGTCCTTAGTGAAATGTTTCCTGAGCCCCTTATTCTAAAATGAAAAATGTTTGTATGCATAGATATCCATCCTCTTCTTAATCTTGAATAGTTTGCTTTAATTTTTATATCATATGACTATTGTCAATTCTTTACCATTCTCAGACATTGATAACATTATCTCTCAGATTTCAAAACCTTGAAGAATCTCCATAAATGAAATAATCTATGAATAATAACATTTTCTTAATTTTTATTACCCTTTAAGAAAATTCATTAATATTTTGTGTTTATTTTCCTAATACAGTTGAATTGTAGCTTATTTATTTCATGTTCCTGATGTTTCATGTTAAAGCAAGTAACTAGTTTTAACATTTTCTCTAGGATTTTAATTGTGTTTTCTAGGCAATTAATATGTACTTTTAACTTTTTTTCTACTTCAGTGGTGTATTTTTTTACTCCCCCAAACCCCCATCTTTTGCTTCTGGCACATAATGCGATACAATTTGATTTCCTTTAGTTTTCTGTATTTATGTCTCACTCTTTATAATATACTATGGTGTATGTTAGTTAGTAACTAATATGCTACTTTGTTTTCCAGGCCATTAAAATGTTAAGGAATACCTGGAGTAACAGTAATACCCTTGTTCCTAGCCTTGATTATGCATTATATACTCACATGCCAACAGTATCTACAATTTTATTTGCTATTTTATAGTCTCTTAGAACAGACTATTTGCTTTACTTTACTAGCACTGTTAGTAAGGCTTTTACCTTTCACTGTCTAATTTAAATAATTTGGACATTTTAAAATATGGAGCATAGTTTTAAGGCTGTGCTCTGAGTGTTCATGAATATGCTTTGCTGCCATAATTTAGACAAGTAAATGTTATTTCTGCACTATTATGGCCAATAAATGAGGTGCATTGATTAGAAGCTTCTCTTAAAAAACTGGAAGAAGAAAGAAAAAACTTTCAAATAATCAATATTTATTATTTAGAATAGGCGCTCTTTATTTCTCTACACCATACTGTAAGAAAGCCCCACTGAAATGATAATTAATTTAATATTAATAGATTTGAGGATAACCACTCTTTGTTTTCATAGGATAAACTTCTCTCAGTATCTTAGTTCAAATGTGGAAGAATTGTTCATCTATTTCTACTTTAAGTGGTGTTTGCTGACCTTAGCTTTTCCTTTACATCTCAAATTTTTGGAGTTTCTTTAGTTGGGATGAGGAAAGGAATAAAAATATTATTTGTCCTTTTTAACAAAGTTGAAGTAATTTTACTAATTTTAAATTTTTCTGCTGCTTAACTGGTAACATGGCTTTACCACACTCCTAACATAGGCAAGTATAGGACACTTGGGATTATTATTTATTATTATTATTTTGGAGAAATTGAGACACCTAGAAGTAACAGCTAACCTTGAAAAAGTTGAGTTATAATGAAGTATTAAGGTACTGATTTTGGGCAGTATAGTAAAACATTAAGCTTTAGCTTTTGGGAAATTGTGGATGAAAAGAGAACTTTGTCTAAAGATTATTTCAAGTTTTGTTTTTTACTGTAATTTTAAAGTCTATCCTGTTCTAAGTAGCTTTTCATTTCACCATACTCATATATCATGTAGTTCCTGGTTGACTAAAATGCAAACATCCTGAGGGCAGAGAGCACATCTTCTAGATTATTTTGTACAGTCTGACACCTTGAAGGAGCTCCTTATGTAATCATTGAATGAGTGAATAAAGGAACCAAAAAGGGGCAAATATAAATTATGGTAGAATTGAAGACTTATGAAGCTTCTATCACCCTAATGATGTATGGGATTGAAAAGATGCTGCAGGTTTTCAAAAAAATTCAGTATATAATTTAACATGTTTATTCACATCACTTGTTCATGTCTCTTTACTTTTCCTCAAAGAACCCAAATACATAGTTCAATGAGAAAACCAAGAATTTCATAGCGGTAATCTGCCCTAAACCTCCCTGATAATAGTCCTGTGGCAACTACAACCAGTTCTAGCTTTTTCTCCTATTATCTTCATTTTTATAAATGACATGCCATGCCTTCTAGCACTTTCATTTCACTTGTCTAGAATCACCATTTCTTCCATCCACTAGCATAGTGGTAGCTCAAGCTAAAAAAAAGAAGCTAGTAGTAAGAGTCTGAATTCCCATGGCTTTGTGAATGCTGCAGTGATTCACTAGGACTTGCCTCTCTGTAACCCTTGTTTTCTTGGAGCTGCCACTTGTTTTTCTGCCTATTTTCTGCCTATTTTCGATTTATATACCTATTCTCAATAGTTTCCAGATGCTCCAACATCTCTGTTATCGTCTATCAGTTATATGTTCTATATGCTCAAACATATTAGCTCAATTTTTGTTGAGTGCTTTACCACAGAAGATTTCTCACCTCAAAACCAGACTGGATTCTGAATCAGTGTGTTGTAAGCATGGTCGCTAGCCTTCTGGGACTGGGGGAGAATCAGTTGGGATTGCATGTTTTTACTTACTATTCCTATGTATTTATAGCTCTGAATCTCATGCTATTTTTCTATCCTTATACACAATATGACTGATTTTTCTGAACCTGAGTCAGTTAAGTCAATAATATTCAAAGACTAAATTTCTTATATTCCAAAGAAGGAGATAGTTGTTGTCTGGATGGACATAGGGCAGTGATGGCGAACCTTTTGAGCTTGGTGTGTCAGCATTTTGAAAAACCCTAACTTAACTCTGGTGCCGTGTCACATATAGAAATTTTTTGGTATTTGCAACCATAGTAAAACAAAGACTTATATTTTTGATATTTATTTTATATATTTAAATGCCATTTAACAAAGAAAAATCAACCAAAAAAATGAGTTCACGTGTCACCTCTGACACGTGTGTCATAAGTTCGCCATCACTGACATAGGGATTTAATTGCTCTATATACAGAAGTTATCTTTTAATCATGCCATCAGCTTTCAATTCCTACCTTACCTTGAAATTTATATGATACTAGAGGTCTGGTGCACGAAATTCGTGCATGGGGGGTGTCCCTCAGCTTGGCCTGCATCCTCTTCAATCGAGAACCCCATGAGGGATGTCCGACTGCCATCACTAAACAGGCATTTGGACATGCCTCTCACAATCCGGGACTGCTGGCTCCTAACTGCTCACCTGCCTGATCACCCCTAACTCCTCTGCCTGCCTGCCGGATTGGCCCTAACCACTTCTGCCTGCCTGCTGGATCACCCCTAACTGCTCCCCTGCTGGCTGGATTTCCCCTAACTGCTCCCGTGCTGGCCGGATCGCCCCTAACCGCCTCTGCCTCAGCCCTGTACCCGGGACCCAGGATTCCCTCCTCCAGCCAGCCGCAGGCACCCGGGACCCGGGCCAGCTTCACCTGGATCGGCCGCAGCTGCAGGGGACCATGGGTGGGCGGCTTCCCATGGGCCGCAGCTGCAGGCGCCTGGGACCGCGGGGCAGGTGGCTTCTCCGTCTACCGGCTGCAGGTGCTGGCGCCCAGGACCGCGGGGTGGGTGGCTTCGCCTGGGTCCAGCTTTGTCAGGAAGGATGTCCGAATGGTTGTCCAGAAGACATTCGGTCTAATTAGCATATTACCCTTTTATTAGTATAGATACCATTCTTTTTTTTTTTAAATCCCCCTAGGAAAATGTATCTTGCTTCTCCTCAGTATCTCTGTTATAGACAGGTTATATGTCCTTTTGTTATTTTGTCATCATCAATGGCTGATATTAGCAGCATATTAGACACACTGAAGAGAATTAGTAAACTGGACAGTTGGGCTGAAGGATACTTTGAGACTAAAGCCTTGAAACACAGATGAGAGGAATTTGCACGTGGTGGGTGGGAACATGGTGAATAGCACTAGTACAGTCCATTTGTGGTTCCAGAGGGAGAGGAAAAAGGGATAGGGAAAAAGCAGTATTTGTGAAGAGACAACAATTCCCAAGCAACAGATTTAGGACACAATAGAAACCAAGTCATAGAAACAAAGAACTCTACACCAAGGCACATCATAATAAAACAGAAACATAATGGATTAGAAGTAGCCAGATGGAAAAGATACATCACCTTTCATAAAGGAACAAAAATATGGGTGCTAGAGAAACTAACTGGCCATCTAGAATTCTATAACTAGCAAAAATCTTACCAAAATGAAAAGAAAACCATTTCAGTCAAACAGAAGCTGAAATAACTCATCAGCAGCAGATCCACACCAGAGAAGATGCTTCTGTCTTTTCAGGGAGAAGGGCATAGTTCTCCAGTGGGAGCTCAGAGCCCAGAAGCAGGATTGGGATTCTTTTCATTTATCAGTATTCTCTTTCCTATTTAAATTCTTCATAAGAACAGTCTATATTTTGTCTCCCTTACTTATATCCCATTTCTAGCAGTATTCATTGCTGCTATTTTTGTACTGTTCTACTGAAAAGTGACTTCCCAAATGCCAAATCCAAAAGTTACTGTATTTTTTCATGTATAAGATATTATTTTTTTTTTCTAAAATCGTTAGACTGAAAATCAAGGGGTGTCTTATACACAGAAGTCAGCCGAGGAGGGAGCAACAGGGGTGTGTAGCTGCCCATACCTTGTCAAACAGGCTTCCTCTAATCATGAGCCTTACTGTTACTGACGTCAGCTGCTGCCGTATAATTGGACATGGAGGTGGAGAGTGCACAGGTGCAACAGGAACTGAGCCCATAAAGATGTCAAAAAAAATAAAAAGATAAATACCAGTAAGCGATTGTCTGACTCTGCAAAATTCAAAGTGAATGTAACCAGCTGTGCAAAAGAGCATGGAAATAGAGTTGCAGCCGAAACCGGTTTGGCTCAGTGGATAGAGCGTCGGCCTGCGGACTGAAGGGTCCCAGGTTCGATTCCGGGCAAGGGCATGTACCTGGGTTGCGGGCACATCCCCAATAGGAGATGTGCAGGAGGCGGCTGATCGATGTTTCTCTCTCATCGATGTTTCTAACTCTCTATCTCTCTCCCTTCCTCTCTGTAAAAAATCAATAAAATATATTTAAAAAAAAAAAAAAAGAAAAGAAATAGAGTTGCAGAGAGACAATTTGGACCTCCTCCCACTGAGTGTATGATCAGACAGTGGAGAAAACAGGAAGAACAACTCCTTAAGATGCCAAAAAAGAAGGCCTTAAGAGGAAAACCAGAAAAATGTTTAAAATATTGATTTCTTAATTTTGGGTTGGAAAAGTGGGGGGCGTCTTATACATGGAGAAATATGGTATTTTCCTGCCCTTACCTTACTGGAATGTGGCACCCTTTGAGAATGTTGCTAATCTTGTTCTTGAAATTTGCCTGTGATTCTGTGGTGTACTGGAGAATCTTCTGTGGTACTTTATATCTTTGTTGAGAAGCCCCTGGTAAGGTATTTTTTTCAAGCTCCGCAGTTATTCTGATACTTAGCTGTATTTGAAAGCGCTTGCTTTCTCTGTTTTCTTCTGTGATCTCATACGCTACTTCCCTTACTATTCTTAATTTGTCTTTCTCGTAACTCTTTTTCCTGTAGCTTTTAATTGCTTCTTTTCCCCTCAAGTTTGATCTTGGTCTACTAATACTGTATTCACATTATTTCTGATTTATAATGTCTACTTCTCATTGTTTTAACCTGCCATCACAAGATTGCAATCTCCACAAGGGCAGACAGTTGACACATTTTAGTCTTTGCTGCCTATCTTTCTTTGTATCTGGCATGCAGTGGGTGGATGCTCCATAAACATTTGTTGAATGGATGCATAAGTGAATTATCTCATATGTGCATATTGTTTAGTTAAGAAATATTTCTAGATCACAAGATAAATTGTTTTCCAACAGTTTCTATTAGTAGATTTATGGTTTCACCTTTCATATTTATGTCTTTAACCCAAATGTATATTTATATATCTAAAACTACTACAGTGGGCCACTTTTCTCTACAGCCAACTATAAAAAAAAACCCCTTTGTTTTCTTATTGATTTGTGGTGTCTCCTTTATCTTTTAACAAGTTGGTAACTTGTCTTTACTTAGATTTATTACATTATCATCTCCTGTACAGTGACTTTCAAACTTTATAAACATACTCACAGAAAGGAGTACATTCTACTTTGTAAAACACTTTACACGTATACATGCATGTACAAAATCTACAATGAAACTTTACAAACAGTACTCTGTGGTGAATTTACTGTGTATGAATATGCTCTGAGATTTTACATTGTATTTCATTTCATTTTTTAAACAAATGTTTATTATGATGACTGTGGATTATAAGCTATAGTTTATATAGCTCTCATTATACTCTGTGAAGAATACTGCTATATCTTAGAGTCACATTTATATTGTTACAATTATTTATCTTCCTTCTAGGTTATGTGTCTCCTTGAGCATAGAGATAATATGTAATTTCTTTTTGTGTCTCCATCACCAGGCATCTGACCCATAAATTTACCTGTACTATATTTTTATAGAATTAATACCTCTAGATAACTTATAGTAAACATAATATGTTTAAAAAGTTCTAGACCAGCGGTTCTCAGCCTGTGGGTCGCGACCCCTTTGGGGGTAGAACGACCCTTTCACAGGGGTCGCCTAAGACCATTGGAAAACACATATATAATTACATATTGTTTTTGTGAGTAATCACTATGCTTTAATTGTGTTCAATTTGTAACAATGAAATTGGGGCTCACACAACATGAGGAACTGTATTAAAGGGTTGTGGCATTAGGAAGGTTGAGAACCACTGTTCTAGACTTTGCTTTTGTATACCTTTTATTTTGAGGAAACTACATATTAGGCACAGTGTAACATAAACAAAGAGAGCTTTTAATATATAGTATGTATGTTTGAGTTGTCCATGTATAATTTTAACTTTTCAGTATTATAAATAATTGTTAATGATCAAGAACAGCATGTCCAAATATAAGTAATTTGACTTTTTCTCAGGGGAATAATAGGCCTTCTTGCACCAATTGCAATAATTCTGTGATGAAGTGCACAGTTGTCAAAAATAAACCTCTGAAACACATTCTATTTTTACTGTTCTGTTAATAGAATTTTTCCTTATGTTTCTTAAATTGTTCTTCTTTTTCAGTCATTATTTAATCTTTTGGAATTTAGAAGATTAGTTCTGAATTACAAGCCTCCGTCAAATGCTCAAGATTTACCTCGAAATCAAAAGGTAAAATTAAGCAGAGGTTCTTAATTTTTAATTTGTGTTTATTTTGGGGGCATTTGCCTCTCATCAAATCTTGAACCAGTGTCAAATTTGAATGTCAACTCATTAATTTCATTCTCTACTACAGTAACTTTCAGTTCTTTGTCAGTGTATTGTGAATATGAATTTTTCTTCACCTGTGTGGCAGTATTATTCCAATTTTTTGTGTAAGTTTACTAATTGCTTTTTCTTTTGGACTGTCCAATTTCAGTAAACTTTATAGGCTGCAATGTACAATTCAAGAACTTTCCTTATCTCCTGAAAAATTCTGTTGAAATCAAAAGTTTTTTCTGTAGATCATCCCTTTAAAAGCTTACTTTTGCACTGGCTGTTTTGCAATGCAAATCTATTTTGGTAGGCAGTATAATGTAAAAGCACAGATACGAGGACCAGGTTGCCTGGTTCTACTGTGGAGCTAACGCAAGACAGATCATCTTATCTGATCTGTCTCTGTTCAGTTTACTTATCTGAAAAGTGTAAATAATAATGGCAGTTATTTTATCAAGTACTGTGAGAATTAAATAATATAAAACATGTAAAGGGCTTCTAGTACATAGCAAGTACCAGGTGTCAACTGTTAGCTTTGTATTATTCATAGTAGCTTTTCAAAATATAGGACTGATTTGCATGCAGAAATTCATACTTACTGGGCAAAAATTAATTATGGAGATAATATGCTTGAGTGTAGGTCTTCGGTGATCTTCTCATAAACACATTGTAGCCCTAAAGGGAACTAGTTTTCATTAAAGTGTTGAACTTTGTGTGACCCGTTATTAGTAGTAATGATGAATTATTCAGTTACGTTTTTCTTTTAGTGTATAATTTTGAAAACTGCTTTTCCTACAAACATATGAAACGTTTATAATGCAAGCTAATGGGAATATAGCTTGATTTATAACCAGTTTTTCAGTCTATAATCTTTAGATTATAAAGTGTCAGGCTGATAAACAAGCCATTTTCAAAAGGGAACTAAGGTCATCTGATAACTCCTCATACCTCCAGAGAAGCTAAACAAACCCCTTGAGTCGTCACAATGTTCACATGAAAGTTTGGGATTACTGCTGCCCTTTATCACAATTTGCTAATTTGAACAGTCCTCTCTTCCAATGTGTCCATTGGAGTGTATTTATAATTTACTTAACATTATTTAAAATTATTACTTCCAGTTACATTTTCATATGTATCTTGACATTTCCTTTTATGTTCCTAGATTTTAGTGCTTTACAGAGTTTTAACTTTTATTCTTCATAGTGTTGACTCAAATAAGTTACTTTTCTAATCTTGCATAATAGACAATTGTGATATCCATGCTTACATACCAGAGCTAGTTTGGGGGTTGTGAGAATGTTCAACTAAATGCTAGAGAAATACATGAACCAAGTCTTCAGCATCTTTCTAGAAAGATTTATTTCTTGCAGGGGAAGGGTCAGCATATCCAGGTGTTCCTTTAGCTTAAGATATAAAAAGAACTTCTACTTCCATTCAGAAAAGACACTTATTTAGAAGAATACCGCAGAATTTTGTAAAAGATTGTTCCACAAATGAGGTATTCTTTAATTTGGCATGGTGACAGCAATACATTCTATATCGACATCTATAAAGCAAATATGTGGGATTTATAGGTAGTTAACTAACCTCTGATTGGTGCTACATTCAGTTAGGTTATAAAAGACGCAGGTTTTTAAAAGGGTGTCAGTGTAACTTTTATCACTTATTATTTAATAATGCATTTATGTGTAGCTCATGCTTGCTGCTACTGAGTTTGAAAACTGTGTTAAGATATAGCATACCCTGTGATCACTTAAATCAAAGCACAGAGATGCTATTTGCTTAAACTGCTGAGCAGGGTATATTTATCAGCACTTAGAGGTTGCCAAAAATCATACATATTGAAGTGAGAAAAAGAAATGGAGTCTTTGAAATCAGTTTGTATTTTTGGTAGACTTGGTTATTGTTTCTAGCAGTTGAAACTAATTTTATACATTCTTATTTATTTGTACTGTTCAGATTTTAATGTGTAGTAGAACTGTGAAGTACCAGAAATTTAAAGATAGATTCTCACTGTAAACATCTCATCCCTACCCACCTTCACACGAACTGTCATTGGCCTAAGAAGTTACAAACTGAGGGCAAAGCATATGTTAACAATTGCAACACAAAGATGCATAAGCTCATAACACTTAGAAATCTTTATATAAATAGCTAAAGTTTTATTAATCATAAGGTTACTAGAGGCCCAGTGCACAAAATTCATGCACTGGTAGGGTCCCTAGCAGCTGCTGGCTGCGAGCTAGGTACTCCCTCCCTTCCCCCCCTGGCTTCGCCCCCTAGTCGAACTCCCAGATGAACTCCCTGTTGAGGGGACAATTTGCATACTATGCTTTTATATAGGACTAGAGGCCCGGTGCACAAAAATTTGTGCACTCGGGGGGGGAGGGGCGGTACCCCAGCCCCGCCTGTGCCCTCTCTCGCAGTCTGGGACCCCTCGGGAGATAACGACCTGCTGGCTTAGGTCTGCTCCCGGGTGGCAGAGGGCACGCCCAATCCCTAGGTGCAGCCCCTGGTCAGGCTCAGAGCAGGGCCGATTGGGGAGTTGGGCGCCGCCCCCTGTCATGCACAGAAGCAGGGCCGATCAGGGTTTTGGGCGGCTGCCCCCTGTCACTCACAGAGCAGGGGCGATCAGGGGGTTTGGGCGCTGCCCTCTGTCACTCACAGAGCAGGGCCCATCAGGGGGGTTGGGGCTCCGTACCCTGTCACACACAGAGCAGAGTCGATCAGGGGGTTGGGGAGCTCCCCCCTGTCACGAACAGAGCAGGGCCCATCAGGGGGTTGAGGAGCTCCCCCCTGTCACTCACAGAGTAGGGCCGATAGGGGAGTTGTGGCACCGCCCCCTGTCACACACAGAGCAGGGCGGATCAGGGGGTGGGGCACTGCACCCTGTCACACTCAGGGCAGGGCCAATGGGGAGGTTATGGCTCTACCCTGTCACACACAGAGCAAGGCACATGGAGGGGGGTTGGGGCGCCGCCCTCTATCATCAACAGAGTAGGGCCGATCATGGGGTTGGGGCACCACCACTGTCACACTCAGGGCAGGGCCTATGGAGAGGTTATGGCTCTACCCTGTCACACACAGAGCAGGGCCCTTGGTGGGGGGGGGGGTTGGGGTGCCGTACCCTGTCACACACAGAGCAGGGCCAATCAGGGGGTTGGGCGCCGCACCCTGTCAAACACAGAGCCGCAGGGCGATCAGGAGATTGGGGAGCTCCCCCCTATCAGGCACAGAGCAGGGCTGATCAGGGGGTTGGGGCGCCTTCCCCTGTCATGAACAGAGCAGGGCAGATAGGGAGGTTGTGGCCCCGCCCCCTGTCACACACAGAGCCACAGGGCGATCAGGGGGTTGGGGAGCTCCCCCCTGTCACACACAGAGCCGCAGGGCGATCAGGGGGTTGGGGAGCTCCCCCATATCAGGCATAGAGCAGGGCTGATCAGGGGGTTGGGGCGCCTTTCCCTGTCACGAACAGAGCAGGGCGGATAGGGAGGTTGTGACCCCGCCCCCTGTCACTCACAGAGCCGCAGGGCGATCAGGGGGTTTGGGCGCTGCCCCCTGTCACGCTGATCCGCATGCCGGGAGCCTTGCTGCTCCGCTGATCCGGTGCCGGGAGGCATATTACCCTTTTACTATATAGGATAGAGGCCTGGTGCACGGGTGGGGGCCGGCTGGTTTGCCCTGAAGGGTGTCCTGGATCAGAGTGGGGGTCCCCACTGGGGTGCCTGGCCAGTCTGGCTGAGGGGCTGAGGGCCGTTTTCCGGCTGGCGGGTGACTGAAGCTCCCAGCCGCTCCTTTTTTCTTTTTCTTTTTTTCTATTCTGGGCCAGCTTTAGCTCCGAGGCCTCGCTGCTGAAAGCAGGTTTCTGGCCTTTACCTTCTGTATTTGATACAATGTTGCGGTCTGGCTGGCTGTAGCCTGGCTGACTGAAAACCGGGTTCTAGGGTTTTGTTTAGCTTCTATATTTGCAACATAGTTGCTTAGAGTTGCAGCTGAGAGTCCGGCAACTGAGGCGGGGAACGTTGGTGTCCGCCATCACTGGAGCAAGCAAGCCTCCCTGCTCGCTTCAGTGCATGGCTGCCGGCCGCCATCTTGGCTGACAGTTAATTTGCATAAGGATATGCTGATTAGCCAATGGGAAGGGTAGCGGTCGTACGCTAATTACCATGTTTCTCTTTTATTAGTGTAGATATTACTTAAAGTCTTGATTTAAGAAAATAAAAGAGCCATTCTGGAATTTCTGTCTTTAACCATGATGAGGTAATAGAGACTGGATTTACAAGTCTTTGTATATTTTAGAGGATTCAAAGCATAAAAAGTATGTGTTTTAACTATAATGAAATTAAGTTAGAAGTTAACAAAAAGATATCCAGAAAATCTCCCTGATAGTTGGAAATTAAATAATATGCCTTTAACCCAAAGGACAAAGGGATAGTTCAGAATACTTTGAACCAGATAAAAATAAAACCTTACATATTAAAATTAGAGGGATGCAGCTAAAAACAAAAGTAATGGTAAGTAGAAAATATATGAATTAAACATCTTATTGGTAAATAAGAGTGGTTTCAAATTAATGACAACAATTTACACATCAAGAACTTGGTGGGGAAAGGCAATTAATTTGAAAGCAGAAGACAAGGAATAATGAAGATAAGAGAATAAATCAATGAAACAGAAATCAGGAAAATAATAGAGAAAATTAATGGAATTAAAAGCTGCTTTTTAAGAAGATTGGTAAAATTGATGAACTACGTAGACTGAGTAAGAGAAAAGAAGGAAGAAACAAATTATCAATATAAAGAATAAAGGGCATATCAGTACATATTCTATGGATAATTAAAGAGAATAGTGGTATATTATAAACAGATAAATATCTTAAAACACACAAGCTATTGAAGCTCACTGATAAAAAGATAGATAATCTGAGTATCCCTATATTACATTAAAAAATGAATTTTTAAAAATAATAGTTGAACAGCCACCAAAAATTTAACAACAAAATCGTTCACTGGTGAGTTATACTAATTATTTAAGAAAGAAATAATGCCAGTTCTCTAAATACTTTTCCATAAAATTGAAGAAGAGATAAAACTTCCCAACTCACTTATGAGCGTAGGATTTTCCTGAAACCAAAAGTACAAAAAGTTATTCAAACAAAAGAAAACTACAGACGAGTATTTCTCATGAATGTAGAAATAAAAGTTGTAGCAGATTTTGGCAAATTGAATTCTGTGGTATGTATAAAGGATAGTACCTTATTGACAGGTGGGGTTTACCCAGGACTACAAGATTGGTTATATGTTCAAAAATCAGTATAATTCACCACATTAACAGAGACTATGGAAGAAAACCATATGATTGTCTTAGTAGATGAAAAAAAAGGGTTTGGCAGAAAGCTAACATTTATTTATTGCAAAATCTCTCAAAACTAGGGATAAAAAGAAACTTTCTTATCCTGATAAAGCTCATTTATGAAAAATATTAAACTAATATAATACTTAATGGCAGAAGACCAAATGCTTTTCCCCAAAGATGAGAGCAAAGCAAGGATGTCAACCCTCACTACTTCTATTAAACATTAGACTGGAGTTTTTAAGTAGTGCTGTAAAGCAAGAAAGGGAAATAAGCATGTAGATTGGAAAATAAAGCTGTTTTTTTGCATGTTTATGACTTGTCTCTGTAGAGAATCTCAAGTATTCTCCAAAAATAATGCTTAGGAACAAGAAATGATGAGCAAGGTTACATGATACAAAGCAAACATACGAAAATCAATTATATTTCTAAATACTTGCCATACACAATTGGGAATTTAAATTTTGAAATACTTATATACAATAGCAGAAAATATGTACTTTTAGGGGTAAAATGAACAAAAGATATATATGAAAAACTATAGAATATTACTGAGAGAAATTAGAGAAATAAAAAGATACATATCATGTTCATGGATCAGGGGGTTCAATATTATTAAGGTGTCACTTGTTCTTGATTTAATCTGTTTATTCACTGCAATCCCCATCATAATCCCAAGAGGGTTTTTTTATAGGATTGACAAACTGATTCTAAAATTTATATGGAAAATCAAAATATGTAGAATGGCTATAACAATTTTAAAAAGAAAGATAGTGTTGGAGGAGTAATTATCAGGCTACAATGATCAAGAAACTCTGCTATTGGCAAAAACACTGGTCATATAGACCAGTGAAGCATAATAGAGTCAAGAAATAGACCTACATATCTCAGGTGAATTGATTTTAGTCAGTGTTGCCAAAACAATTCAGTGGGCAAAGAAAAATCTTAAACTTACAGTGTCATAGGCAGAAGAATAATCCTCAGTTCTTACAGAATACTATATTATACAGGTATCTTGCTTTAGAAATCCATAGAGGAATTTTTGCTTTTATGAAAAAAAGTTGTTCCAGCAATAATGTAGGTCTTTCGTAAAACTGAACTGGCATAAGTTGAACTTTCAGAAAGCAGAGGATACTGTTCACTACACATTTTGGCTTAGGAAAAGCTTCATAGGAACACTCTAGATAGTGTGGGGAACATGTGTATGAAAAAAATATAATGGATTATAGAACTAAAAGCAAGAACTATATATAAAAATTATTGAAGAAAACATAAGAAAAATTTAGTGTCTTGAGTTTAAAAGATGTCTTAAGTAAGATAACAAAAAGGCACAAATCATAAAAGAAAAAATTGATAAATTAGACTATTAAAATTAAAAACTTGTAATCTTTGAAAATTATATAAAAAAGAAAAGGCAAGCTACAGACTAGAAGAAAATATTAGCAAAACATGTATCACAAAAAGGAATTGTATCTAGAATGTCTTCAGAACTTGTACAAGTTAATAATAAAAGTAACCTATTATTATACTGGGAAAAATACTTGAATATATACTTCACCAAATAATATATGTAGATATATGCACATGAAAAAATGCTCAACATTTGGAAAATGCAAAATGAAACTAAAGGTGCTGTATACCCACAAGAAGAACTAAAGTTAAAAATATAACACATATGTAAGTGTTGTAGAATGTGGACCTAGAACTGTCATTATACTGCCAGTGGGAATATAAAATAGTGCGATGCCTTTGGAAAACAGTTTGGTTTTTTCTTAAAAACACCTACACAATCTAGCTCTTCCCTCTGGGTTTTTACTCAAAAGAAATGAAAGCATATGTTCACACAAAGATATGTGTAGTAATATCCACAGAAGCTAGAACAGGTTAATGGATAAATAAATGTGATATATCTACACAATGGAAGACCACTGAGCAATAAAATGGAATGAATTATTATTAATATGCACAGTCATGAATGAAGCTCAAAATAATTATGCCTATTATAAGAAACCAGACTAAAACAAGTACATAGTGTATGATTTGATTTATATAAATTTCTAGAAAAGGGACCATGTTTGCCTGGGATGATTAGGAAGAGGAATGAGGGATGAAGAACCTTTGGGGCATGATGGATAGGTACGTTATCTTGATTGTGGTGATGCTTTCGTGAATATATATGACTGAAGCTCAAAAAATTGTACACTTTATACTATACAGCACAGTTGATACCAGTTATACCTTGATAAATGTGTTTGAAAAAAGAGACCAATATTTGAATAGTTTTTATATGTGGTGGTATTTTCATAATTTAGCCAAATACAGTAGCTGCTTTTAACATAATTTATGGTTTTGCCACTTGAAATTTAAAAAGTCATAGGAATTGTCTAAGAGAAAAATATATCATTATATTAAAGTATTTTCTTAATATGCTTTTTTAGCAGAATTCCACTTAATTTTCAAAAGTCAGTTATTTTATCTTTGTGACTTCGCAAGGAGTGTCTCAAAACACTGCACTGACTTTAGATATAGTGATAAATGAAGAAATTGATCTCAGGAAATTGAGGATATTTATGGAAATTATTTTGTGGATTAAAATTTGTAGTATTTACACTTTTAAAACTTATTTATATAGGACAATTGTAGGGGAATAGGAAGTACCACAGAAAAATCATGGATCAGTTTTATATCTGATTTAAAATTTTTGCATTTAATGTTTATCATAGATAAAAAATTTATTATCCTTAAATAAAATGTATGTTTCCCATAACTTAGCATTTTTATGTCAGACAATGCTCTTTGTGATTACTCTATAGTTTTGGATCAAATATTTGGAATCAGTTTTATTCCCTTACACCTATTTCTTAGAATTCCTTTTTTAATGCATTCTGGGAGCAGCTGTTTCTATATTGTTTATATTAGTGTGAAAGTAATTATGCACACACCCCTACAGTTTTATAATGCTGAGAACTCCAACTCTGCAAACTTGGAAAACTTTTCTAATATTTAAATAGCATAATAAGTTTTATCTGTTAAAATTGATAAATTAGACTTCATTAAGATTAAAGACTTGTAATCTTTGAAAAATGTATACAAAAAGAAAAGGCAAGCCACAAAGTGGAAGAAAATATTAGCAAAACATGTATCACATAAAGGAATTTTATTTAGGTTATACACAGAACTTGTACAAGTCAATAATAAGACAAGTAGCCTATTACTGTATTGGAAAAATATGTGAACATATACTTCACCAAATAAGATGCAGATATGCACATGAAAATATGCTCAACATTGTAAGTCATTTGGAAATTTGTTACTGCAGGAGCTAACTGTATAAGAACTACTTTTGTTGCCATAAAGTATTTCACTAACATATGTGAATTACATTCTTTTAAAAGTTTCCTTCTTATTAAGTTTACAGTCTTATTGAGAAAAGTTGAGTAAGATTTCAGAGGAGCACTAGGTGGATGATACATTAGTCTAATATTATGATCTAGATGAATTGTTAGACTAATATTAGGATCATCACATGACAGTGGCAGTTGGTAATTTATTGTTGAATGAAAGACATTCATTTTAGTAGCTATGGAGTTTGAAGGGATCATTGACTTGGAGGGTCTGGGAAGGCTTCATGGAGGTAGAGGGATTTTTGATTAAATGGATTTATCGAGGTAAAATACCTACACAGGGCCTGGTATGTAGCTAACACCCATTGTATGGTAATGATTGTTATTGCTGTCCTCAGCAGCATCTGGGCCTTGCTGAATGGAAAAGAATTATAATAAACAGACTTGAATGAGGAGGATATTCTTGCTGGGTAATGACATGATTCACTATGAATATGTGGCATTTATGCTGAAATTGTGAGCTTAGCCTAGATACTTTGCTGTTTTTGTGGTTGATTCCTTCTTGAGTCTCCTAAATGACATCACTCTTCTTTAATTATGATACAGGAGTGCTGGACTCGTTCCTAATCTATATTACTTAAATTTTTGTTTAGTTTTTAATGAATATCTGTTTACCAATAAAGATTTTGTTAATCTTCATTTAAAAGTCTTTTTTTCTTTGATCCCATTAGGAGCATCGGAATTTGCCTTTTATGTGTGAACTGAGATATCTATTTGCACTTCTTGTTGGTACTAAAAGGAAATATGTTGATCCCTCAAGAGCAGTTGAAATTCTTAAGGATGCTTTCAAATCAAGTGACTCCCAGCAGGTAGTTCTATTGTGCTTACTTGTTTATAAATAATTTGTATTTTACTTAATCTGATCACTCAGCAGTTTTTTCAAAGATTCATATAATTGAATATGTTGTTATTCATCTTTATTAAAAATAAGCTGGAGCCATTTAAAACATTTATTTGGAGGAATTATTTTAAATTAAGAAAAGTAATAATGATCTTGAAAGTGTTAAGATAAATCAAAGTATCATTTATATTATGATTGAAACTGGTAAGTTACAAAAATGGGTAAAGTAAAAATTCTCTAAAAACATGTAATTGAAAATATTCACAAATGTATGATAACCCAATGCCAGTACAGTGTGCCTGTTTTTGAGATGCGTCTTTTTGCTGGCAGGTAATAGTTTTTCTTAATTATTCAGAAAGGTTTCTGATCTACATTAACTTAGTTATGTTGCTTTTTTCCCCCTTTTAATCTTTATGTACTGCTATTTGATAGGTTAAAGTGGGTGGTGCATGGGCTGGCTAAATAACCATCTCAGATGGTGATCAAAGAAAATTGAATTTATTTAAGGAAAGGGAATGGGAGATGGGGCTATCCAAAGGGAAGGGCTACACAGAGAAAAGGGGGCCTTGGAGACCAGTTCAGTGGGTTAGTCCCTGCCCGTTGCTCCCCTGGTTGTAAGTCTTGTGGGGTCCCTTACGTGCCTATCGGAGAATGGTCTTTTTTCCTAGGTTAGATTCCTCCCCCTAATCATCACCATTTTAGGTCCTACTGCTCATGCCTCATAGTAGAAGGACCTCCCCCTGGGCCGTCTTGTCTTGGCTTCTGCTGGGCAAGTGCCCACCAGAGAAGTCCTGATACTCTGCTGGTTGTACCCTGGGGAGATTGGAAAGCCAGTTTTTCTTCCCTAAACGGGATGGAGGGATGATAATCCCCTTGGCAGGGCAATGCTGCTGTCACCTAGTGTGCATGGAGCTGTGGCTTCTGACCTAATTAAACTTAGCCAATTTTTCTCCTTTCTTTTATTAATATCTAGCTAATCTATGCTAACAATACCAGTATTTGCTTTTATTTATTGTTTTCAGTTTTTTAAAATATCTAACTGTCCCAGTGTCTGTTAGGTTAGTGTCTTATCTGTTATAACAGTTCTTAAATACATCAAAAGAAATAATATTCCTAAAAATGATCCCAAACCACCATTTTAGGGCACTCTTTCTGGTTTTAAGTGTTACCAAAGAAATTATTGGGCCAGATTTCCCAAACAGGAGTGGGAGTTGGGTTCTTGGGGTATCACTGAAATAAGAATTTTCAGAAGCTCCCACGGGAGAGTGAGATATAGTAAAAGGCTTTATTTGTGTAGAGTTATATTCTTACGGTTGTCAAGTCCCATGTCTGTTAACCCAGTCCTGAAAGAGGAGCAGCTGGGATTCCAGTAAAGCCAAAAGCAAAGCCAGGGTCCAGATTGTCTGTTTCATGTTGCAGCTGAGCTTAGTTCAGCATTAGGCTAGTTACAGTCCATCAGCCCATTGTGTGGGTCCCACATGGCTATAAGCCATGTGAAATGCCCCCTTGTAGCAGAAGTCACAGGAGCACAGGTACCAGGAGAAGCAAGAGCCCAGAGAGCAAAAGCCAAGAAAGTGCACTCCTTTGTTCAGAAGTTTAAATATTCATGTTTCCTGCTCTTGAAGTGGCAACATCTATTTGCTTCCAGGTGTGAATGACATGTAAGCACCTTCCCAAGTCACTCAGACCTTACTAAGCATGCGACCAAACTGCCTTTGTCCAGTCCCTTGCCCCATCAATCAGGGAATGGACTTGGTGAGTGTTAACTTACCAAAGGTATATAAATAGCATGTGAATATTAGCTAATTTTCCCTCTATTCCTTTCCTGTTAAATAATAATCAGATTATTAAAATTGGTGCCGGCCTGATTGCCCCCAGCTCCCCTCCCCTGCCAGCCCAATCACCCACAACTGCCCTCCCCTGCTGGCCCGATCGCCCACAACTGCCCTCCCCTGCCGGCTTGATCGCCCACAACTGCCCTCCCCTGCCACGACCCGCCGCCTCCACCGGGACCCGCCTCCACTGTGAGAGGTGACAGAAATGCCAGGACCAGCCTCCTCCATGCTGTGCGGAGCCACGGGACCCCCAGGCCTCATTGTGCAGAGCGGCCGCCAGGCCCCACCTATGCTGTGCACGTGGCCATCTTGTGGCGGCCATCATGTGGTTACCATCTTTTAGTGGCCCTCTTGTGGCGACATCACGTATGAGGGCGCGAGGACCACCTAGGCTTTTATTAGTATAGATAGGTTCTTGTTGGTGGCCATAATGGAATACTTTATGCCTGTGTTCCTTCTTCCCTTTCTATTTCTTCTTTTTACAACAGTCCCTTTAGCATTTCTTGCATTGCTGATTTGGTGGTTTTAAACTCCTTTAGCCTTTTTTTTGTCTGTGAAGCTCCTGATTTCACCTTCAGTTTTGAATGATAGCTTGCTGGATAGAGTATTCTTGGATTTAGTCCCTTGATTTTCATCACTTTGTATACTTCATGCCATTTCCTTCTGATCTGTTGAGAAGTTGTGGATAGTCTAATGGGAGATCCCTTGTAGGTAACTTTCTGTCTCTGTCTTGCAGCCTTTAAGATTCTTTCTTTGTCTTTTACATTTGCCAATTTAATTATGATGTGTCTTTGTATAGATCTTTTTGAGTTCATCTTGATTGGGATCCTCTGAGCTTCTGGACTTGTGTAACTTTTTTCTTCCCAAAGTCAGGGAAGTGTTCTGTCATAATTTCTTCAAACAGATTTTTTATTCCTTGCTCAGCTACCTTTCTTTCTGGCACCCCTATTATGTGATTGTTGTTTTATTGTTGTCCCAAAGCTCCCTTAAACTCTCCTCTTGTTTTTTATAATTTTTTTTCCCCAGTTGCTGCTCTGCTTGGGTGTTTTCTACCTTGTCTTTTAACTTGCTGATTTGGTCCTCAGCTTCCTCTAGTCTATTGTTGAAACCTTCCATGGTTTTCTTTATTGCAGCTATGTCATTCTTCATTTCCTCTGGATTCTTACTCATGGTGTATTTCTCATTCGGGTCCCTATAATTCTCATTGAGTTGCTTGTAATTCTTATTCAGATGTTTGGGCATCCTTATAACCATTACTCTGAATTCTTTATATGACAAATTTCTTGCCTCCATTTCATTTGGTTCCTTTTCTGGTGATTTCTCCTTTTCTTTCATTTGGGGGTTGTTTTTTTTGTCTCCCCATTTTAGCTGTTCCTTTGTATTTGTTTGTATATATAGATCTAACTGCTGTGCCCCCCAGATTTTTTGTGTTGGTCTTATGTAGTAGTTGTTTTGTGGGTGCGAGTGGTGGTGTCTCTCAGGTCTCCTGGGCTGGGTGTTCTAGGGAGGCCCCCTACTTGAAATATTTGAATCTTGAATGTTATTGTCCCATTCCTAGATGGAGTGTCATCTGATTATGTGGCTCACTCCCAACCATGTCATGCCAGCCAGTGTGGAGGTGCTGACTGAACAGCACAAAATACTACAGAACAAGACATGACACAGAAGGAACAGAAAATGAATGTACACAAGACCGCTATCGCCCCAACAGTGACCACCAGAGAAAAGAGAATTAGAAAAGAGAATGATGGAATGGAAGGGAGGGAGGGAGGAAGAAAAAATTTTTGGAGAAAACATAAACAAATGAAACAAAAAGCACAAACAAAAAGCACCCAGAAATGTGGGCGGGGGGCAGAATCTGTAGATGCAGAATTTAAATAAAGAAAATAAGAATAAAGAATTAGAGGAATAGGGGAAGGACCATGGTTTAGAAAAAGGAGTAGAGAAAAAATGAGAAGACAAGAAAAAAATATTTGCAAAGGAGAATACAGGAGAGAGCAAATAGGCCTAAATTTAGGAAGTGAAACAAAAAATTAGAAGAAGAAATGAGAAAGAGAGAAAAAAAATTAAAAAATTGAGCAGTGGAAGAAAAAGGAAAGAGAACAGGAAATTGAGTAGGTGCAGGGAAGAGGAAAATTATATATATGAACAAAACAACAGAGAATAGGATACTAACACATCAATAAAGCAGGTAGATAAAAATGTTCAATTTTAAAAAGTGGGGAAAAGAAAGAGAAAAACTGAAAAGGAGAAAGAAAGAAACGGGAGGAAAAAAATGAAGAGGAAGAAATGTGCAAAAAAAGAAAAGAGAAAAGTGAAGTGTCATTCGTTTAAGCCAAGTTTTAATGCCCCATGGGAGCTGGCTTAGGGCCCCACTCTTCTGTCTGCCGGTTCTGGGCTTCCTGTTAGGTACTTGGGTGCTAACCACTGTCAGGCATGTCTTTTGGCTTTTAGCCTGCTTGAAGCTCCAAGCAATCCACCAGTCCACCATTTGTGTCTGTGTCCACAGGCCTTATCTGCAAGCCGAAGGGGCAGTCTGTCCTCTAGAGAAGGTTTGTTAGACACCTGGAGCCCAGGGCTGATTCAGCACTCTTCCTCTGAATCGCCATGTTCCACTGCTGCCCACCTTTGCCTGTCAGCCAGCTGTCAATCTTAATCACTCAAGAGTCTGTTCCTAACAGTGTTTGGTGTTTCACTTTCAGAGAATACGATGGGTATTTTTTTCTGTCCCAGAGCTACTCCTCCGCGAGTGGCCCAAAATATTACTCTGCTATTGGCTGGACAGAGATCCTTGTATGGAGACCAGTGGGGTCAGCTGGGGGGTTCTCGTTCCTAGAATAGTGGGGCTGATGGCCCCTCCTCCAATCCATTCACTGAGGGTCCTTGAGACTGTTCAGACCCTTAAGCTGGCCTCTGCCTTTATTTCCTCTGTAAAGCTCAAGATGCAGGGTGTGGCAGGCTGTATCACCTAGGGCAGGGTTTTTTTCCTTTACCTGCCTTCTGGGTATTAGGAGCAGGTAGCTCTTCCCAGGGAGAATAGCTGCTTTGGTTTGGAAGCATATGAATGATCCAATGCTGGACTCCCAGCTACTGCTTTCCCAAGTCTCTGCCCTGCTTTTCACCCCCACCTGTCCTCAGGCAACTCAATTCTGCGCCTATTTCCCTATGCCAGTGGTTGGCAAACTCATTAGTCAACAGAGCCAAATATCAACAGTACAACGATTGAAATTTCTTTTGAGAGCCAAATTTTTTAAAATAAACTATATAGGTAGGTACATTGTTATTAACTTAATTAGGGTACTCCTAAGCTGGCCTTTGCTAAAAAACGTCCTTAATCTGATTGAGGTACGTTCGCTGAGGTCGACCCCTTCCAACTCTCTCATCCTCAACTCATGCATGAATTACGCGTGTTATGCCCAGATTTCAAGACCCCAAAAGACACCACCAGGGAGCGCCAAGTCCGATGCAAAAGCATAGAGTCTTTTATTCAATCCCGGGCTTGGTCCCCCTCTGCCTCCATTACTGGATGCGAGAGAGAGCCCGGAGTCCCAAGAGAACAAAGAATTTATAGGGCTTGGGGTCGGGGGGAGGGGGGGCACACTTGGACCACTGATTTGGCCAATTCCGGTTGGTTGAGTGAGGGCCGGGGGCTAGTGACGCAAGGGCAGGGTGCAGTTAGGGTCTGGTTACACAAAGACGGGGGTGTTCATACTTTCGGCCTTGAGTTTGTTTTCCCTTGCATTCCCATTGGCTGAGATAAGAGCAGGCTGAGTAACTGATACATTCTATGGCTTTTGCTGGAAGAGGAGTTAGGAACACAGCTATCAGTCCTATCAGTCCTGTTCTGTCCTTTCACGCGCACCTCCCCCAGCTGCTGCGTATCTCACGGCTGCGCCGTTGCCCGACCAACCGACACCCCCCACTTCTTCTAACACCACTTCTTCAAATTAGACTCGCCCAGGCCGAAAACCGACTTCTGCACATGGGCCATGAAGTTTCAATCACACTGTATGTGTGCGCCCGCACGTGGTATTTTGTGGAAGAGCCACACTCAAGGGGCCAAAGAGCCGCATGTGGCTCGAGAGCCACGGTTTGCCTACCACTGCCCTATGCCAACAGCTCGTGTGTGTATTTGCAAATAAAAACTCTTGTGCTCTGGGTTTAAGTGATTAAAAAAGAAAGAAAGAAAAAGGCAGTCGAAACTGCAGCTCTCTCCCCCACTGACTCGTCTGCCAGGTCTAGACTCTGCTGCTGCCAGCAGTCCTGCTGCCTTTCACAGCTGCTTGGATGATATGGGTGTTGCGGGTCACACTGCCACAGGTCAGGCCACCATGGGCTTGGGTAGTGCTGCAGGTCGGGTCATGCCACTGCCACCACTGCTGCATGGAGCCCTGCCTGTGCTCCCAGAACAGTTCTCCCCATAGCACAGCTCCTTCCTTTCCAGGCTCCCCACCTCTCACAACCTCGCCCTTCCTACCAGTCTCCAGGTGCCTTCCTTGTTATAAGTCAGCTCCTCAGCTGGACCACAGTTGGAAATTCCAGGTGAATGTTCTCCAATTTAGTGGTATTTCCAGCCTTGGGACAAGGTGCCCAACAGGTCTGCCTATTCCGCCACCATTTTGTCTCCCTACTATTAAGTTTTAAAAGTCACTTCTGTTCCTTGACTTATCTTTTCTTCTGAAATTGCTTTTTCTTTGTCTTTTTTTGGCTACTTTCTTTTGTGTTGAAGCTTTCTAAGGATGCATAGTGATCTTTAGGTATCTTTTCATATTTAAAAATGAGGTAGCACAAGTTTAATTGGAAGCCTTGTATGTATGTATATGGGTAGACTTCAGTTTTGTTAGAGTGGACAGAAGACAACTAGCTGTTGATGCTGTGACATGCTCCAGAATGCCACATGGCGAATGCCTTTGCTTTGGGTTCTTTTTTCTCCCCTCTACAAGGGCTTTTAAAGTAGTTGCACATCACCCTGGCTTGTGTAGCTCAGTTAGTTGGGCATTGTCCCATGCACATTAAAGTTACTGGTTTAATTCCTGGTCAGGGCACATGCTGGGTTTCAGGCTCAATCCTCAGTAGTGGGCATGCAGGAGGCAGCTAATTGATATTTTGCTCTCATACTGATATTTCTCTCCCTCTCCCTTTCTCATTCCCTGGGCGGGGGGGGGGGAGGGGGGGGCTTGTGGGGGGGGAATCTTTAAAGTAGTTGCTCATCAATTGAGACAGATATAGGTTTGATTCTCTTCTGTTCCTAGATACTCGAATCTAAAGTACACATTAGTGGCATAGTGGAGTGGATCTATAAGTAAAGTAAGCATCATGATTTTTAAAAGTGAATTTATATGTTCATTTCATATTCTTTTTAATTATATCTTTGAAATATGCAAGAGTCTCGGGGATATTTTTTGGGATACAGTACTGCCAAATTTAAGTATACTTATGACTTAATTTAAAACTAAAATGTTATCATTTTTTCTCTTGATGAAAGCAGGTAGAATTATTTTGTAATTGTAAATTTTAGATTGATTGCTAAAAAAGACAGGGATTACTTTCTCTGAAGAGTATTATGATAATGAGGAAACCTTTTTGTTTCTTGTCAGATAACCTTGCAAGATAAGCCAAGTTGTAGAAAAGTATTGAAGGTTTTAAGGTGTTATAACTTGCTAGGACAACTGTAGCAAATTAGAACAAACCGAGTGACTTCAAAACAGTAGAAAATTATTCTCTCCATAGTTTTAGAGGCCAAAATCCTAAGTGTAGGTAGGTGATGGAAGAGCTCTGCTCCCTCCAGTGGCTCTAAGGGAGAGAAGCCTTCCTTGCCTTTGTCATCTTCTTTTGGCTCCTGTGTTCTTGTCTTCTGGCAGCATACCTCCAGTCTCTGTCTACATCTTTACATGGCCTTTTCCCCTGTGTGTCTATGTGTTTGCTCATTTTCTGTTTCTTAGAAGAATACTCACAATTGGATTTAGGCCTATTCTAACCCAGGATGATCTCATCTTAAGATCCTTACCTTACGGTTTGGCTCAGTGGATGGAGCGTCGGCCTGTGGACTGGAAGGTCCCAGGTTCGATTCCGGTCAAGGGCATGTACCTGGGTTGCGGGCACATCCCCAGTGGGAGATGTGCAGGAGGCGGCTGATCGATGTTTCTCTCTCATCGATGTTTCTGACTCTCTATCTCTCTCCCTTCTTCTCTGTAAAAAATCAATAAAATATATTTCAAAAAAAAAAAGATCCTTACCTTAATCACATCTGCAAAAACTCTTATTCCAAATAAGTTTGTATTCTGAGGTTCCAGGTGGACAAGTGTTTTGGTGGGCCACTATTTAACCTAATACAGATAGTATGGATGTTTATAACTGGATTTTTGTGCTGAGTTTGTCTTGAACTATATGACATTGTTGTAATTTACTTACTCTTCCTAGACCTTAGTTTCAACATTTTAAAGGTGTGCAAGTTGGCCTAGATGCTCTTTAAACAACTTCTAGGTGGAAAAATGTGTGACATTAAAGTTTGTTTTATATTTAGAGCTATTTTGATAAAGACCAAGTGCTTACCCTGCTTTATCTTTCTTTGATGGTTTGATTGAACTCAGTCAAATATGTTAAGTGGATATGCCTTTGAAAAGTTGAATGAAGAAAGGCACATCTTCCTTCTAAGAGAGAAGCCAGTATTCTTTATAAAATGAAGAACTTTTTGGTGATATGCATACTTTTATAAAGGTTCATTAACAGAGCTTTTTTGAAAAAATATTTTTTATTATTTCATTCGTACATGTAATCTAATGAACAAAATAAGTTAACAAGCAAAATAGAGACAGACTCATAGATAGAGAGTAGGCTGACAGTTGTTGGGGGGAGATGAGGAGTGGGATTGAGCAAAAAAGAAAAAAAAACAACTCATGGTGATTGCTAGGAGAAGGGGTGTACAGAGTTGCAGGGAAGTGGAAAGAGGGTATGGGTAGATAAATGGTGATGGAAGGAGACTTGACTTGGTTGGTGAATACACAATAGTGTACAGATGATATGTTGTAGAATTGTGCAGCTGAAACCTGTATAATTTGTTAACCATTGTCACCCCAATAAATTCAATTAAAAGGGAAAAAATAGAAATTAAAAAATAGAAATCTCATTTGTAAGTTGGAATTCTGATATTTATTTATTTTCCTAAAGTGAAAGCCAATCACAATGATTATCAATATAATGCTTGTTTTAATCAAATACTGATTTTGTGCTCTGGTTAAGTTATAAATATTTATTGCATTTGATGTGAACGATTTCATTTAATACCTTTGTGAGTAGTCAGTAATTATATGTTTGAATGTCTGGGTGCAAGTTTTATGTTGCAATATTTAGTATTTTTATTAATAGGCTTAAAAATTAACAAGGTTTTTTTTGTTTTGTTTTTTTTCCTATAGCAAGATGTGAGTGAGTTTACACACAAATTACTAGATTGGTTAGAAGATGCCTTCCAAATGAAAGCTGAAGAGGAGACGTAAGTTACCATAAAATTTAGTGATGGTATTTTAAGAGATCTGTAAGTAGCGCTCATTTTTTTCCTTTAATGTATTCAGTGTCAACAAATAAATAGGAATCTGAGATAGACATATGGGAGCCCAAATGTTACCTCTGTATTATTGATAAGCTGTTGGAATTTATGGCCACAAATGCTGGTAGCTTTAGATTTCCACTATAAGGGCAGAATCTAGCCAGAAAGGTCTAAAAAGTGATCCCTGAAAGGGCTAATCCTACATTTCCCAGTTCTTTTCATTAGATTCAATGAGGAGAGGGACATATTTCAAATAAGACTTAAGATTTCTGAAGATATGGAAAAATTCTAGCCTCTTTTAAAACTTTTTTTAAAAAAGGGGAGATAATTTGTTAGCTACCAGATCATATAAGGTGACTAGGACCCAAAAGAAATTAACAAAAAGTAAGTAAATAATAAGCAAGATCTTCAAAATCAGAATAGAATGACTCGTTCAGAAGAAACAAAGATTCATGAAATAGTCAAGTGGCCTTCTTCTAAGTCTACAGGTGAAAAGCAATTGAGGACTCGTGTTGAAGGTAGGACACTGAAGTGCTTACAGAAATCTGGATAGACTTGAGAGGAGGACTAGGGGTCCCAGGGTATAAAACATTTAAAAAATTACTGAGGGAAATTCAAAGACACTCAGGTATCATAGATTGGGATACAGATATCATTTACTCAGAGGAAACTTGCCCAATAAATTTTAGTATTAGAACCTTAAAGATACAAGGAACTTGAACTTTTAAGAACCAGGAACCAAGGTGGACAACCTTAGGTCAAGTCCACACAGAGGCTCTCTATTAGTCTGACAGGACAGTAGCACTTGTGGGGTCCTTCAACTTGAAGGTGGACAAGGCATGTTTGATCAAGGGTGGCTTTCCCCCTTCCCAACAAGTCCAAAGAAAAGCATATATAATAAGGACTGAAGGTCCGAGACTGAAGTGTATAGTGATAATAGAAAAGCTAGGCACTTTATGGGCACTGACTGTCAGGTCCTCTTGTAAGGGCATCCTGCATAGTTATCATTTTAACCTTTAAAACAGCCTTGTGAGTTTAATTACCATTATTATCTTCAGTTGACAGGTGAAGAAATGGAAAAGTAAATTTAAGTACCTTTCCCAAGGTGACACTAAGTAACAGCTGAGTGCATGATAACCTCATACACGTTATTGCTTTGGCATAGGCTATTGTTTTTTTAATGTTTCCTTTATTACTTACAGGTCCAAAAATTATAACCATATTTATGTTTTTTAACATGCTTTAGGGATGAAGAGAAGCCAAAGAACCCCATGGTAGAGTTGTTCTATGGAAGATTCTTAGCTGTGGGAGTACTTGAAGGTATTACAATGAAGAGATATTATCTGTTAGCTTCTTTGTCTTGATAGTAACTCTTCATTTGTTGAATGACTTTTAATTTTAATTTGACTTACTCTATCTAGAGTTCCTGTTACATTGCTACCACTAATCATTTATATACAAAGCACAGAATTGAGATATGAAAAGGAAGGTACAGAGTATATTATCTCATGCTAATTGATACTTAGTTAATATTATCCTGTTGTTCTTTCCCTGGGAAGGCTTCTGTGATTCTGTGAATTATTGGGATACAGGGATTACAGGGGCAGTTGTGTTGTTGGTGGATCTTTTGAAAATAATATTGGAATTGAATACTGGGGTTGATATGATGATCACTGTTTTTGAGGGTTTTAAGTCTGTGAATGTTGAAAGCTGAGTTTAGCAATTTAGCATAGTTGGGATATTGCACTTTTTAGGTGATTATAAAATTCTTTAGACTCTAGTTTTCAAGAAAGAGTTGTATTCTATCTTTTGAAAATTCAGTTAAGAATGATACTACTCCATCTTCCCTAAATGCCTATTACTTAAAATCTGGACCAAACCAGTTACACTTTGATTCTCCTAACAAGGGACTGAACTGAGTCAGTAGATATACTTCAAATAATAATATTACTAAGTCCCAAAATATAAATTTTTGATAACTTATTTTTCCTGAATGGCCCAATGCATCAACTTTTGGAAGTGCCCAAAGTATAAAATTTGGAAAATTGTTTTTTCTTCAGGATAAGTAATGGATTCATAAGAAGTTTTGTTTGAATATAGTTTTATAACTTAGAATTCAGAAAAAGACAGAGGCTAAGGATTTGGTCAGTAAGGTTATATTGAGGTGTCAGACCAGTGAGTCCCAATGGGGTGATTTCCTTTTGTTTGCTAAAGTACCCCCTTGCAAAAAGAACTTATAGTCCACTGATTCCTCCATTTAGTTCCTCTCAGCACTTCTCTTTATTTCCATCCTTGTTCATTATAATTATCTGTATAAATATCTAAAGCTCCCTTTCCCACATTGATTTCTAGCACTGTCTCTGTCTATTCTCTGACCTTTATTAAGCTATTTATCTTCTCTCTGCATGCCCTGAGTTCCTGAAATTGCTGAGGAAAAGTCACTTCAGTGGGCTAGCTATAGTGGACCAGGAATCTGTAGTATACCAAGCTTCACTGGTTTCAGTTCTCTAACCCTACCTGGCAGTCATACTTGTTTTATTTAATCACTGTTTTCTATCCTGTTTTCTGCATTAACAATTTCTTTTTTACTGTAATTCTAACGTCTTGTCTCTTCATTGTCTGAAAAACACTTTACTTCAACTTTCATGAATTTACTGTGAAGCTAATGAAACCTAACTGTGGGTCCTAAGGGCCCTGAATCTAATTTTGTGTTTATAATACTGTAAAACAGTTCTTAAAACGCTCATCATCAAATATTGTGCTGCAGCCTCTGCAATCTGGATCCATTCCTAATGCCACTAATTATTTTTATTTGATCCCCCAGATAATAGAGGAATATTTAGTCTTATATCAACAGAGTATTCTTTGTATGTTCTCAGAATCTCATTCCTTCATGCTTTCACCCAGACCTCACTGTTCTTATTATCTTGTGGGCAGTTTTTTATTGCTGTTGTTTTTTATCTTCACCTTTTCCCTCTTTAATGTGTCTTCTCATTGATAATTAGACCTGGTCTGGTATCTCATGTCTTGAAAATTAAGGCACTCTTTTAAGTTAATCCTATTTAAGTTTAAGCCCCTTAAAGAGGGGTTTGATATCATCTGCTAACTCCCCACTTATTAAAACCATCCCACTTTTGCTTCTGGCCCAGACCTCTTCCTAAAGGAATATTTTTAAGATTATTGTGGGGTTTTTTTACATGTGTTCAAGTTCATTGGGTCCCTCTCAGTTTTTGTACTGAACTCCTATCAGCTATTAATTCTATTGATCCACTCTCTCCTCTTCTTCCATTTTTCCTTTTCTTAAAAACACTTCTCTGTCTTCTATGGAACCATATTTTCTTGGCTTTTTAAAATTTCTGAGTGGGTACTTCTTAGTAGTTATGTTTATAGTCTCTTCTTATATTAAAGGTAGGGCATCTTTGGGACTCAGTTTAGGCCCTCTTCCTTATCCTGTTTACTAATTCCCTAGACTGTCTCATTTACTGCCTTGATTTCCTGCTACCAGTAAGTCAGCGATTTTTAATTTAGAGCTTCAGACTAGAGAAATAATCTTACAGACTCATATATCCAACTATTTTCTCAACTTGAAGTCTCTTGGGACATTCTAAAACAGTTATGTCCACTACAACCTTAAACAAAACAAAAACAATCCTCTGTGCTTTCTTCAGTGGGGCCCCTTCAGTACATAAACATTAGTCCAATTGTTGATACTAGAAATGTGAGTCTCATTCCAGATACCCTACTTACCTCTGTCCCCCATTCTGCATTGAGCCAATCAATCAAGCCTTACTGGTGCTCCTCCTTGTATACATACATAAATGTGTGTGTGTGTGTGTGTGTGTGTGTGTAAATTAATTTGTGTGTTTTTGTACACTTTTACTGGTAACACCCTATTCTACGCTGGATGGATTCCATAATACTATCCTAGTAATCTACCACCCACTTATTACAGAAGTCAAAAGAATGTTTTAAATACATAAATCTGATCCTTTTCTTGCCTTTTTATTTAACTTATTGGGATGACAATGGTTAACAAAATTACAGATTTCAGGTGCACAGTTCTACAACACATCATCTGTACACTGTATTGTGTGTTCAAAACCCCAAGTCAAGTCTCTATCACCATTTATCACCTTTATACCCTCCTCCACGTTTTGCCACTCCCCTTCCCTCAGCAATCACCACATTGTTGAATCTGTCATTGAGTTTTTTCTCTTTGCTCAATACCTTCACTCCCCGCCCCACACCTATCAGCTTACTCTCTATCTATGAGTCTGTCTCTGTTTTGCTTGTTAGTTCTTTTGATCCTATTATTCCTAGATTTAACAATTTAATACTTTCTATTATTCTCAGAATGTACTGAAAAAATTCGTAACAAAGGCTGTTAGACTTTGTAGATTTTGACCCACCTAACTAACTCTTGGTTGTCACCTCCCCATTGCTTCCCCAAGCTATACTGTCCTCTTCTTTGTTCTTCAAATATGCCAAGTTCTTTGCAGCTTTAAAGTCTTTGTATGTGCTTTTCCTTGGCCAAGAATACTCTACAGTTCCCGGACACTCTGGCCTGGCTAACTCCCACTCACTAAGTTTGAGAATAAATGTCTTTTTGCTATGGAAGCTTCTCTGTTCTACTCTCGATCCCTAAAGACTAGGACAGCTCCTCTTTTTCTACCCTCTCACAGCGGTCTGTCTCACCACACTTTTTATAACATTTAAAATACCAAACAGTTGTTTGTTCATAATTATGTGTGCAATTAATATGTATGATGTCTTTTTTTCCAGAAGAGGCTAAGAGTTTCCTCAGCTCAGGGACCATCTCTTGTTTTTCACTGTTGTACATATTTTTATTGTTTAGCACAGTATCTTGGCCTTAGAAGGACTTTTTGGAAGGATAAGTAAATAAATACATACATATATACATACATATATTACATTTGGGTTGAATTGAATATATGGCTGGATGTGAATGTACATATGTACATATATAAACCAACAAAATTTGGTTTATACACTAGCTCATTACCCTCTGGAACATAATCTATCAGAGTTAAGTTTTCAGGGTAAGAGGTCATTCATAATACAATTAGTAGCTAAAAGGCCACATTGAGGAATAGTAATTTAATTAACTTTCCCCCCTCCTATAGGTAAAAAATTTGAAAATACTGAAATGTTTGGTCAGTACCCACTTCAGGTCAATGGATTCAAAGATCTACATGAGTGCCTAGAAGCTGCTATGATTGAAGGAGAAATTGAATCTTTACATTCAGAGAATTCAGGAAAATCAGGCCAAGAGGTAAGTTTAACATCTGCATCATCCCTCTCCCCCTAAATCTTTATAACAGTGCTGTAAAGCACAATTTAAGTCCCCATTTCTATAGCTACCTACTAATTGAGAATACTCTAAATATGTGTTTTCATTGAATGATGGTAATTTAGACATATCTGGGAAATCTGTATAGCCCATCTATCTATCCTAATAAAAGGGTAATATGCTAATTAGATCGGGAGCCTTCCGGACAAAGCCATGGTGGCGGGGCCAAGGCAGAGGCAGTTAGGGGCGATCAGGCCAGGAAGGGAGGGCATTTGAGGGTGATCAGGATGGCAAGGGGGGGGGGGCATTTGGGGGCAAGCAGGTCGGCAGGAGGGGCCAGTTGGGGGTGAGCAGGCTGGCAGAGGGGGGCAGTTGGGGCAAGCAGGCCAGCAGTGGGGAGGCAGGTGAGCAGAGCAGGCCAGCAGAGGGGGGCAGTTGGGGGCGAGTAGGCCAGCAGGCAGAGTGGTTAGGGGCGATCAGGCAGGCCGGCAGGTGAGCAGTTAGGAGCCAGCGGTCCCAGATTGCGAGTGGGATGTCCAAGGGGTCCCAGAATGGAGAGGGTGCAGGCCAGGCTGAGGGACAGCCCCCTGTGCACGAATTTCATGCACCGGGCTACTAGTCCTATCTAATAAAAAGGGGATATGCTAATTGACCCTCCCATTGTTGCAAAGATGGTGGCACCCACAGCCAATAAGGAGGGAATATGCTAATTGACTTCCACGCCCTCAAAGATGGCCTGCAGGGGAAGGCAGTTGGTGGCAATCGGGCAAGCAGGGTAGGGCAGTTAGGGGCGACCAGGCCAGCAGGGGAGGGTAGTTGGGGGCGACCAGGCCTGCAGGGGAGGGCAGTTAGGAGCGACCAGTCCTGCAGGGGAGGGCAGTTAGGGGCGACCGGGCCGGCAGCGGAGGGCAGTTAGGGGCGACCGGGCCGGTAGGGGAGGGTAGTTGGGGGCTACCGGGCCAGCAGGGGAGGGCAGTTGGGAGTGACCAGGCTGGTAGGGGAGGGCAGTTGGGGCCAATTGGGCCTGCAGGGGAGCAGTTAGGTGTCGATCAGACTGGCAGGGGAGTTGTTAGGGGCAATCAGGCAGGCAGGCAGGCGAGCAGTTGGGAGCCAGCAGTTCCAGATTGTGAGAGGGATGTTCAACTGCCGGTTTAGGCCCGATTCCATTTTAAAATCATCCTTTAGGACATTTTTCAGTTTTAGACTTTTCAGTTAAGGTACTAGTCTTTACAGCATGCTTGTTCTGCAAGTAAAGATGAAAAACATTGATATTAGGATGGAATTTTATATAGAAGTATGTTACTTATATCAAATACTGTTGGAATTTGTCCAGGTCTCAATAGGCAACACCAGACCCCTTTTCTTGTAAAATTTCAATATAATAATGTGAAGGACAGATGGAAGAACTTGCTTTCTCCAGAAGGAAATAATTTACAAAATCTATAATAATAAAAGCATAATATGCTAATTAGACCAGATAGCTGAATGACCTTCCGGACGAAGCTGGGGCTGTGAGGGCCGAGCCCCTTGCACAAATTTCATACATCAGGCCTCGAATATATTATAAACCTATTTATCTGTGTCTACTGCTTTCTGTCTCACCACCCAACTCTGTCTCTCCAGCTCCATCTGCATATCCATCTATCCATACATGTACTTATCTTTTGAGGAGTGTTATAGCAGAAAGTAAAGGACAGATAAGAATCTTTAAAATCAGTCGTTGTTAAGCAATTGCTGATAGTTGCCTTTGTGAGCCTCCATGCTTGAGGGCAGGATCTTCATATGTGCCACTCCCTGCTGTGACCCTAGTGGATAGTGTGGTAACTGCAATTAGAAGTGTGACTGACTGTCTCAGTGTTATCAAAAAAGTTTATGAGGTCTTTATCCCTGAATAGGAGCTTAGTAAATACTAAGTTATTCTATCTCCCTTGTGTTTATCTAAAAAGGGACTGGGTTCTTGTATCTTTGAGAATAAATTGATTTTATTTGAATTGTGTGCTTTTTTAAAAAGTGTAATCAACCATTTTTGTCCTAACTTTTTTTCCCCTTCAACAGAAATAAATAATATTTATTATTTGGTGTGGGGTTTTTTTATAGAGGGAAAGAGAGAGAATCTGTGAAATAATTGTCCTCTCCACCTCACAGGTCATCTACTGAGTCATTCTCAACAGATGCCTAGGCCCCACTTCAAAGCTATCAAATCAGAATCTAGGACAGGGATATGGTACATGGCACAAGAGCTCCACAAGTGATTTGATATAGAACTATACTTAAGAATATTTAAATTGCCCTAACCGGTTTGGCTCAGTGGATACAGCGTCGGCCTGCGGACTGAAGGGTCCCAGGTTCGATTCCGGTCAAGGGCATGTACCTTGGTTGCGGGCACATCCCCAGTGGGGGGTGTGCAGGAGGCAGCTGATCGATGTTTCTCTCTCATCGATGTTTCTAACTCTATATCCCTCTCCCTTCCTCTCTGTAAAAAATCAATAAAATATATATATATTTTTTTAACAAAGAATACTTAAATTAAGTTGATTAATTTTATTGATGGAAAATAGATATCCAAGGATTGGGACTTTCCCAGGACCCCATAAGAGAACAAGAAAGCAGAACTCCTTAATGTATGATCTGTTTTGGATTAAGTAAAAATGATAGATGGATGGGTGGGGCAGGGAAAACGGGATGGCATATTCCTTACTTTGTTAAAGCAGCTTGTAAGTGAAATACACTACAGTTTATTGGTAAGTAATCTTTCTCACATATGTCTAGCTTTCAAAAATGGTTTTCCTTACATTCAATCTAAATTTTTATTTTTATTTTTTAAATATATTTTTATTGTTTTCAGAGAGAAAGGGAGAGGGATAGAGAAAGAAACATCAATGATGATAGAGAATCATTGATCAGCTGCCTCCTGCACACCCTCACTGGGGATCGAGCCCACAACTCAGGCATGTGCACTCACCCGCAATTGAACCTTGACCTCCTGGTTCATAGGTTGACACTCAACCAATTAGCCATGCAGGCCAGGCTGCTATCCTATATAATAAAGCGCTAATATGCTAATTAGAACGAACAGCCCAACGACCATCCAGATGACCTTCTGGATGAAGCTGGGGCTGCGAGGGCTGAGCCCCTTGCACAGATTTTGTGCATCAGGCCTCTAGTTTATTTTTTAAAATCTAGTTTGTCCTTCATCTTTGTCTTTATACTATAATGTCTTAGACTGCATTCTATGCTTTCTGCCTAGGTTTTTTAATTCAACCTGTGGAATACAATAGTTTGCCATCTTCTTTAAATTCAGCAGTTTCTAAGCAGTCTCAGTAATACCAAATTTGATTTCTATTACCAATTGCCTAAATAAGTTTCTAATAACATTTTAAAATTATAGTCCTATTTCATTATATCCTTCAGAATAACTATTTCTTCTTGAGTCTCTACAAAGACCAATGAAAAACATGGTAGATGTGTTTCAAAATTGGCATAATTCTTGATGGTAACACCTCTTACACTATTGTTTAGTAAAAGTTGTTTATTTTACCTTGATACAGAAAATATCATTTTACTGAAAGAGTTGTTGTCAACTAATTAGGAACACCTTTAGTGTCCAGCATTACTCATGTTAAAACATTCAATGGGCTATAAGATTTTAAATTTCTGAAATGACATAACCAGAGACAACTCAATAAATTAAAAATGATTTTATATATAAAAGCCCAAGCGACCGTTACGACCAAACAACCGGTCGACCAGTCGCTATGATGCGCACTGACCACCAGGGTGCAAATGCTCAATGCAGGAGCTGCCTCCTGGTGGTCAGTGCACTCCCACAGCCAACCTCCCGCGGCCCTTCCCCCCGGCTGGCCAACCTCCTCTGGCCCCTCCCCCACCAGCCGGCTAGCCCCCCAATAGGCCTTAATCGATGGCCAGGCCAAGGGACCCCACCCGTGCATGAGTTAGTGTACCTGGCCTCTAGTCTATAAGATAAATACTTATAAAATGTTTCTAGAATATGTTTTTAAGGTAAAAGGGCAAATGAGTAAGGACAATTAAATGACTGAAACTAGTTTTTGAACTGGAATAGGAAGTTTTTGGTTCTTATTCTTAGTTTACACCCTGGCTTTGTTTAGTGTTACTAAGGGGAATTTGGAATGGCAGCTCTGTTTATTCCTTTCTGGTTATATAATTCCCTCTGCATTAACATAATATCACAAAAGGAAGTTTTAAAACATATTAATAGAAAAATATCAGCTATTACAACTCATAAAAATGACTATATTCTTTCTAGAAAATATATCTGATAACAAGTCAGGTTTATAGTCATAAATTTAGAAGCATCTTTGTTGCTAATGCTGATTATATAAGTTATTTATTCATAATTGCATGAATCTATTACTCCTGTAGGTTTATTATTATGAAATAATAATAAATATGTTTAGGGATGTGGAGAATATAAGCATCATTTTTAAATCTTATTTTATTGTTTAAGATATTACAAATAGTAGTAGATATGTCTCCTTTTTTTTCCATTGACCTCCCCCTGGCCTCCCCTACCCCCCGGCACTTTTCCTCATCCCCCACCCCCACCCCCAGTGTCTTGTTGGTTGTGTTTATATGCATGCATACAAGTCCTTCAGTTGATTTCTTACCCCCATAACCCTCCCCTACCTTATCACTGTAGTTGGACAGTCTGTTTGATGCTGCTCTGCCTCTGTATCTATTTTTGTTCATCAGTTTATAATGTTCTTTATAGTCCACAAATGAGTGAGATCATGTGGTATTTTTCTTTCATTGACTGGCTTATTTCACTTAGCATAATGCTCTCCAGTTCTATCCATGCTGTTGGAAATGGTAAGAATTCCTTCTTTTTTTACAGCAGCGTAGTATTCCATTGTATAGATGTACCAGAGTTTTCTAATCCATTCATCTGCTGATGGGCATTTAGGCTGTTTCCAAATCTTAGCTATTGTAAATTGTGCTGCTAT